TTGCTTGCGGAGGCATTGCTCTGGTATTTGCCTAACGCGGATTGTCGCCGAGGAAAGCTGGGCGCTAACGCATTCCTGAGTGGCTTTTGTTGGTTTTTCCCTCCTGAACTCATTTTCCGAAGTTTCACCCGCGAGTTGGCAGGGAAAGGCAGCGTGTGAGAGCCTCTCGGTGCTCAGGCGAACGTCCTGCCGACTTCACGGGGAGTTTGGGCTCCGCGCTGCATGTGGAGTAATGTGTGTGCAGTGACACTGAGCTGGAGAGGCTGTGGTACAGGCTGGGTCGTTTGGTCAGGGGCATGAGGAATCTGAGGAGCAAAAAGCTTTTCCCTTGGTGTGCATGAGTAGACATCTTATCTTCCCCTCTCTCCACTCCCAACATAACTTCACAAAAACCATACATCTGTTCCTAGGAATCAAAATATTCAGAGGTGGCAAGTTTAGAAAACAAACAAACAGCTATGTCATGTATTTTGACAAGTAGTATGTTCGCTCGCTGTCAATTCTGACAACTGCTTGATAAGAAATTTAATACAATTTTATTTCCTAGCTATACATTTGAACTCCTGCAGCTCTTACAGGTAGGCTTGGAGGAACCTATTTGGATGAGATTATTTCTTGTGCTGGCAAGAATGTTATCAGATGAGAAATCGTGAGTGGGAGAGCAAGAGGAGGAATAGGTGGAAATTAAAATCCCTAACAGCCTCTTATGTGCTTCTTCCTGATATCTGCAGGAAGAGATGCTGCAGCTAAACTGGATTTTTGTCAAAAACCTGTGAATTTATTAAAAATCCCTGATCTGTATTCATTTCAGTTGATCCTGATGGAGGGATTATACTTGGGCAATGTGGAGAACTACAACCCAAGCTGAACATTTGTGCTGTGTATTAATTTTCTACACCATTAATTTGTATGGGAACTGAAAACCATAAGGGGTCTTTCACAACACTTCTTTGTTTAATTTTTGGCTAACTCTTTCAGCAGGTCAGTCTGAGGAAAGCTGAGTAGTTTGCTTTTCCATGAAAGCACCTGTAATGAATGTGTCTGTCAATTTGTGAATGTGTTCAGCAGCCTGGCTACATCAGTTTTCTGTAAGACAGAGAGTTGCTATGAAGCTTTCATGTTTTATTCTAATATTGTGAGTGGTGAAAGGGAGGGTGCTTTCTGGCATGCACTGGGACATGTCATTTGTGTGACAGATGAGTTAAGTAATGCGAGGTTAGATCATCGTCACCCAAGGTGATTAAATACTTAACCCAGCAAATGAGCTGTAGCAACTAAACTAAAATGATCAACTTACCAGTTTTCCAAGGCTGTCTGTGAATTTGCTAAATTAATAACAGCAGATAGAAAGGTAAAAACTGAGTGTGGGAAAACAGCTGTTAACAGGCTGGGGGATCTCATTAAGGAAAGGAGTAAGGTCCTCCTGCCTATGTTCTGGGATTGATCCCGGACCACTGGTGCTCTGCCGGGTACTGGCTGCCAGCGGCAGAGCACTGGCTGGTCCCACAGTGCTGGCTCCCCCTTCTTCCAGCTGTTAGAACCATGCTGCAAGTCCCTCTGCTGTTGCTCTGCCCTGTGAGGTGGTGCCCTCATGGCTGTGGGAGGGTGGCATTTTGGCAAGAAGGGAAGTGGCACGTGAGAAATCTCTGTATTTGATCACTGGTAAGGCTTTAACAGAGTTCAAGGGCAACAGGGCTGCTTATTTAGCAGTGCTCTGGATTTCACAGCTGGCATTTTTCTGTCCAGCTCTGTAGCTAGTGAGGCATCCTGTGAGCAGCTGACCAGCCAGGGAACTGAGTGAAGTTGTAATGTACTGTGATACGTGGCTGGGCAAGAGTGATGGACTCATTTTTTTCTGAATGATGTGGAGGCCACTGCCAGGGCATAATATTGAGCTGTGCTAGACCTGTTCTGGTCTGTCAGTCCTGTGCCACTGCATAGGAAATGGCCATTCTCCCTAATGAAGCTAGCTTTACATTTATTTTCCACCTTCCTGCTTTCCCACGGTCTCCTTTGATCCTCTGGTTCCTCCTTTATATGCCTTTCTTTCTTAAATGCACTTAAATAGTTGGCTTCCATGTTTTCTCATGGTAACACATTCCATATATTCGCTTCTGCTTGAGGGAAACACTCCCCATCCACCCACACATGTAACAGTGCTCCGGGCAAAATTCTGATCACTTCTGTGTCAACGTAAACCTGAGCAGCTCCACCAACTCTGGCCCTGCTGCTTTGGGGTCACAACTGTATGGGTCTGGGTACAACGTGGTCCTTTGGCTGGACTGAAGGGTCAGGGAGGCTCATTTGAGCACATGCCCACGTCACGCGACAAAAATATCTGTTCTGCACACAGTTCTGCTCCTCGGTGAGGTATGCTGTGGAATAGGCTTTGCTTTCACGGGTTTTGCAAATTGCAGAGAAGCTTTCTGTAATGCAGAGGAACAGTGTACACTGAATAACGAGACATAATTGATTCTTTCTCGTATCCCAGCTCTTTACAAATGCATACAATGGAGCAAGCATGATGATTTCTTAGCAGCACAGGAACACCATAGCTGAAATTCAAGCCTGGGGAAAAGAGGGAGGTGTGGTATTGTGTTAGGCGAACGCACTTAGCGCTGCTGGATCACTGACACGGCGAAGCTCCCAGCATTTCTGTCTGGCTCTGCCTGGGCACTGCTCTGCAGAAGCTCACCCTGCTGTTACATGAGTTGAAAAAAGCCCCGTGTACACACTGAGCCACCACTTTTCTCCAGCAATTGTGCTTTCAGTGCTTGCCTTTAACTATTGCTTAGCAGATAGTAGAGCAGTGCTGAGACTAACAGACCCCTCTGCAGCGTGTGCTGGTAGGGTATGTAATTCCAGACCACCAACCTAGAGTAATTTGCTGTACTCCAACCCCCCTTCTTCTGGGGGTGGGGCGGAGTAGTATTTTTTTTTTAGGTATGAAATTTACAGGATCTCCAATCAAATTAAAGGTGTCCCAGGGTCAACCCGTCAAACTAAATTGCAGCCTCGAGGGAATGGAAGATCCCGAGATGTTGTGGATCAAGGACGGAGCAGTGGTGCAAAGCGTAGACCAGGTGTACATTCCACTAGATGAAGAACACTGGATCGGCTTCCTCAGGTACAACAGATGCAGAGAAGGAAGAATATCGTGGAAACTATTGCACAGTTTTCTGCTGTCAACTATATCTATGCAACTGCAGTGCCTTTGGCGGGGTAGGGTCCTTAGGTCTGCAGTTCAATGCGTGGCAAGGGCATAACTGAGAGCAGAACTGAAGCCACAGAGGGCTGAGATTTTATGCACTAGAACCATATTGGTTTCCTGACTACTGTGGTGACAGGTGCTTTGCTAATGCTTGTGATGCTTGAGACATGACTTCAAGGTGAAAGGATGTTCTTGCCTTGTTTGTTCATCTTGTTCTGCCGTCCAGCAGGAAGACTGAGGTCTGACTTAGGATTTCTCTCTCGTACTCGTTCCATTCTCTTACTCTCTTTCTTGAGCTGTCAGTCTGCTTAAAGGATTGTTGATTGAAATGCGACTCCCAGTAGTACATCCCCTTCCTTTCTTTCGGGAGGAGTGTTTGTCACCTGAACCATCCCTGAGTCATTTTACAGAGACTTTCCTAATACATTTACACTACATGGTATTAGTCCTGCCCCTCTCAGAGGTACAAAAACTCTCTTCTGCAAAGCAGCTCTCTGTGCCTTTATTTCAGCAGAAGAGGGTTGTCAGCTAGTTCTGGAAGTACCAAGTTAAGCAAGACCCAAGGTTCTGCTCTGGCTTTTTCTATGCATAAAGAGAGCTTGTACAAGCAAACATGCCATCACCGTGAGGGCTCAAAACTGTTGACTGACTGAGAATCACTCTTCCCTGAGCTCTGGCTTCATCTCCTGTTAGGTTTCTTGGATTGACATTGCAGGGAGTCTCCAATTCCAGCAACTAAAAGTCTCTGTGCTAAAGCTTGTATGTAAGAAACATTTTGATAGGAAAAAAATCTGTGCCCAGTAAAACTATTACATAACATTATATTGTGGAAACAGTTTGTCTTGAAATTATACCGTTTACTTCCCCCCAGTTCCACTGGTTAACTCTCTTTGCCCCTCACAATGTCTCAGTCTGATCTCCTTTCTCACCTCTTGTTTTCCTCCACTGAGAACTTTCTGCAGCACCAGGGATAAGTTAGGGTGCTAAATCTAGATGTGTCCGTATCTTTTTCTCCTTTTTCCTTTCTTCTCCTAAAGTGATAATTTCTACCACCCACTGTGTGACTCTCTGCTGCGATCGCTGTGTTTCAGAACATGCGGCTGGATGGGCAGGACAGCTGATGCCATTTGAAGGTACAGCTCTGAAAATCAGGCTGTAGTGGGTCCATTTTGTGCATTTCAGCAAACACTCTTCCTTTTCTGTCTTCCTTCCTGGGACGTTCTTCCCCTTCCCCAAAGCGGACTGCTAACATTAGAAAAGCGGGCATCAGGTCTGCTGAGGATCCCTGCATGGCAGCAGACGCATGGCTGCACATCCCGCGGGGGGCAATCAACATTTATTTGTACATTGACAGGTGCTCAGAGTCACACTGGTGCCTTTGGTAGCTGAGACCTTGTTGCTTTGGGACCAAATTCTGCCCTTACTCACGATGCTAGCCTTGTGTTGCTAACATCAGTGAGGATACCGCAGATTTCCAGTGGCAGAGCAAGGAGCAGAATTTCTCCCCTGAACTGGAGGCCTACAACTTGATTGCCGCTCAATCCCCACGGCTTCCCCTGCTTGGATGCATCTTCTCAGAAGGGGAGCTGTTGCTGAGGAAGGGGGGGCACAGAAAAGTCCTAGGGTGAGGTCCTGTGCTGGAGTATAGGCCAGCATAACCCCTTGAAACCGCAAATTGAGAAGCCCGAGGAGTTTTGTGGTGTGAGGCGCTCTTGGGATAAGAATAACACTGAGTGCAGTTGAAGTGAGGGGGACCTTTTTCTGGCCCATCTGTTCCCATATGAGGCTGTCACCAGTCCTGTCACCTAACTGAAGCTAAACAGTCGGTCTCGTTGGAGATTTGTGATTTGGAGTTTCCTGCTAGGCCAAGCTGTCGCTCTTGAAGGCTAGCTAGTCACGATTCAGGATCGAGATGACCAACCCCTTCCTATCCTCAGAGGACACAAATGGGTTTTCTGCAAGGACGTTTCAGAGGAAGGCTGTTTGCTCTGCTGAGGATTCCCTCCACCCACTTTAAAGAGGAGCCTCCTGTCTCCGCTGTTCTGCCACACGCTTTGTGCTGGCTGGCTGTTGCCCTTCTCCCCAGAGCTGGCTGCGTCTCAGTGGGTGTTGTCCGTGCATCTGGTCCGTGCATCAAACACTGGAGGGTCCTTTGGGGCAAAACCATGCTTTATCCACGTAAAATATCGATGTGGCTTTTGACTTTTTTCAGCTTGAAATCCGTCGAGCGGACAGATTCTGGGAAGTACTGGTGCCAGGTTGAGAACGGGGGGAAGAAGGAAGAATCACAGCAAGTGTGGCTCATAGTGGAAGGTAAGGAGGAGTAGTAGTGCTGGTTGCTTTTCAGGGCTGACCCACCAATACGCTCTAGGTGGAAGTGGCAAGAGCAGATTGCTCCAGTCACATGCTTCTTGGCTCTGAACCATTGCTGCTAACTGTAGTGAGATCGCTCCAGAGCAGGAGTAAGAAATAGAGTAGCTTCAAGAAGAGGAGCTGTCAGTTCATTACCTTCTGGTTTTATTTTGACATGTTAGGAAACAAGATCCTTTCGTGCACACAGGTTTCTTTCCAGCCCCTCAATCCATTGTTGCTTTCATCTCCAAATAATTCATAGAATGATGGGATAGTTCAGGTTGAAAGGAATCCAAGGGGATCATCTGGTCCAACCCACTTCTCAAAGCAGGGTCACAGCCTGGTTCTGTGTATCAGCCAAACAGGTCTTTGAGGGCAAGGTACAGTTTTAGCCCAATTCTGAGTTTCAGGGGAAGTGCTGTACATCAGCGCTTCGTATCTGTGACTTCCACGTGGCACTGTTTTGCCCAGTCTTGTCTGATAAAGAATAACTTCTGCATGGTTGCCCAAAAGTCGCCCAAGGCAGCATGGATTGGTGGCTTCTTACTGTCTCTAGTTTCATTTCCCTTGAGCCATGATTGTGTTAGATCCTCAGAAGCTAGTAGTCATAGGATGGCTTGATGGCTTAATATTTGGTAAGGAAGTTGACAGGAACAGTGCATTTGCAGCAAGAACTGGCTTTTTTGATGCAATTGGTAACATTTTGGGCCAGACCCGAATCGACAGTCTTAAAGTGGGGGAGCAGGGAGGGTGTCATGGGTGGTGGTGTCGTCTGGGTGTTTTACAACAAAGCTCTCACTCACTCAGAGCTGTGGAAACATTCATAGTAGTTCTCACAGGAAGAGGAACACTTACCTGCTGCCTTCCATAAATCCCATGCTTTTGTCCACCTAAACTTTCAGGTGCAGTTTCAACTGGAGAACATTGTTTATAGCTTAAAATGCTCTCTATTGTGCAGAGGTTCCATTTCTATTCCAATTACCATGGCCCGCGCCAGAGGTGGCTGCATTTGCATGGTGGGTGTGTTAGCAGTGATTGGGTAGCTCAGTGTGCTAAGCCATCTCAAAAACAAAGGAGCCCTTCTGGACAGCACAGGCAAAAAAATGTCAAAGTCACAAAAAACAGCTGCAGCTAGGCAAGGGGGAGTTGAGAATGAAGGCCAAAGCTTACAGTGGAAGTGTAAGCTAAAAAAAAAAATGCAACTAGTCACCTTTATGAGAAAAGCAAGTACAGCAGAAGCTAGTTAAACATGAACTGAGCTTGTAATCATGTGAAACGGGAGTTAGCGGAAAAAATTAAAAAATAACAAGTAGTGATAGGGCATGGATTCTTAAAAATGTGGAGCTGTTAGCATAAGAAAACACTGGGGAATGCAAAAGCCTATCAGTCCCACCTTCACTGTTATCCACTGTTATCTCCGTATGGGGCATACCAGCTTTGTCTAGAAGTGGTTGCTGTATCAAAACCAACTTGTCCTCTTTGACTGAGAGAGGCTCTTTACTCTGGTCATTGCAGCCTTTGGTAGGTGCTGACACCTTTCAGTGTGCCACACAAAACAAATGTCGACTACTGGTGATCTAACCTAAAGTGAGCTCGAATGGGTTTCTATGCTGTCTAGTATCTGTCTTGAGATCCACTTAGGTAGTCTGTATGAGGCAGAATTTGTAGCAATGGTATTTGAACTGTCTTTGTAATACAGCTAAAATGTTTGATCTTATGAAACACTCCTCAGAATTTACAAAAACAAAATTATTTTGAAACCATTTTCTGGTTTAGAAACTAGACTCTGGCCTTACCAAGAACATGATAGCATTTGATGCCTGGAGAGGTAATTGAAGAGGCACACTGCAGAGTGTGACCATCTTAAAAATACGGATTATGTTCCTTACAGAACTTTCCCTCTGAAATTACACCTCTGACCACGTAGCTGTTCCTGGGGCTGCTACCCCCAGTTGTGGCTACAGTCAGAGTCCCAGCCTCACATGTATGGACACATCCCCCTGAATTAACACTGCCTGAAAACTGAGCTGTAGGAAAAAAAAATTGGCCCCGTAGGTTGGATGCTGGCTTGGAACAGGGAATAGACAGGCTCGTTTCCTTGCATTGCCACTGATTTCCTGGTTGTTGGCTGCTCAGTGCCTCCATGGTGCGTCTGTGAAAGCGGGGTGCTGGTCCTCACCCCTTGTACCAGGAACTGGGAGGCTAAATGTGTCACAGACAGTGAGGATTCCAGGTAACGTTCTTACGGGGACAGTGCAGGTTTCTGAGCTGGATGAGTCAGCTGCACTCCCTGAACTGTGGGAGTTTTTAATTGTGGTCTTATCTGATGTGGTTAGCTGCTCCCAAAGTGAGAAAACCTGCCAAGCTGAGCAGGATTCTCCCAAAATGTTACCTCGGGTGCCATGCAAAGGGACAAGAGGCAGGGATCCTACTCACAGAAACTACGGTATTTTCCCTTCTAATCTCCTTTGGAGAAGGGTGGCAAAGCAAGTGGAGGTGTCACAGCTGGTATCCGGAAAGTTTATTCACTTTTATTGTTTATGTATGACTGCAATAAAAAAATACAACATGTAAGCAAAAAACAGCAGTAAATCATGATGATGGGTATACCTGTCCTGAGCATTAGCGTTGGCACAGATAGGCACAATCATTCTTGAAGTGACCTGATTTTAGATTTGTTTTAGTTTGTTCATTTACTTGCCACTCTAAAGGGAGTGGCAAAGAGGTGAGGAAGACACGAAGAAACTGCCACATGAAAGTCACAAACAGCGACTGGACGGTCAGTGAAAGACTGAGGACGCCACTTTCAGCTGGAGCATAGGGGAAATGTCAAGTGTTAGGCTTCTAAATCCCTATTTAGGCACCTACATTAATTGCCTGCTGTTGGAGGTGCTTAGCATCTGCCACACCAACTTTAGCCTGCCATCTCTCGCCAGGGAGAGATAGTGTAAGCATGCAAATGCACAATGTTGTCAGTTCCTCTGTTTCTGTGAGGTGGCAGATCAGCAGTTTCCAGAACACACTGTTTCCAGCTAAGAATACCTTGTTTTGGTGTAGATGCAGTCAGTAGCGGCTGCACTTGACACCCAAAGCTTTGACTATGAAAGGGAACTCAGTGTTTCTCTGGGCCTTTGGCTTCTCCACCAGCCACCAGAAGCACATGCTGGCTGTCCTGTGGGGTCAGTACTGGTGCTGATGGATGGTGAATTTTGTATTACTGGTTTGGAGCACTGAAACCACAAGAGTTTTGTCATTGCCCATAAGAGGAACCACATCTCTTGATGTGTTGAGTTATGCTCAGCTATTGCCACTTAGAGATGACCTGAGGTAGTTAGCATTGCAGCTGCATTTTGCACCCCATGGGCCTGATCTAGGGCCTGTTGTACCAAGCAGGAGTCTTTCTACAGTCGGGAATGGATAGTTATGAAGAGAGCCGTGTCCATAGATAGCCTTCAGCTCTGAAACAAATTACCCCTAACTCTAAGGCAGCCTGGTTCTCATGGTGTTGGAGCGTGCTGGAAGGCAGCTCCAGTCAATTAAGCTGTGGAGAGGGCATTGTAAGTGACCCCTGTCTCTCACTGGGGGGATTCTTCCCTCATTCATGGGTTTGTTACAGCCGCTAGTTCAACAAATTCACAAGCTTCAGTTTTTAATGCATGGTAAGAAGCATCTGCAGCTGGATTAGGTAACGTGAAAGTGGTGTCTGCCACCACTAAAATTATTGACTGTTGCCTCTTTAAACTCCAGTCTCTCCAGCTGAAAAATTGAGCAAATACTGCCACTAAAAGCTACTTCATACGGGAATCTTGAAGGAGACTGAGTGAAAGAGGTTTTTCAAAAGCATTTTGTGAAGCAAGCACTCTTCTCTCTGACTTCTAGTGGGAGTACTTACACGTTTGTGCCCTGAGGTGATTGAGCACCATCCTTGGTTCCTGTGAAGGGCTTAGAGGGAGTCGGATTAGGCATAGGGGCAGGGCAGATGGGGCACTGATATTAGCGGAAACAAAAAAGACGGAAGGAGTCTTTCCAGTTATTATCACTTGTCTGTTGCTTTTCTAGGTGTGCCTTACTTTACTGTGGAACCTGAGGATGTGTCCGTGTCCCCTAATGCCCCATTTCATATGGCCTGTGCTGCTGTTGGTCCCCCTGAACCAGTGACAATTGTCTGGTGGATGGGAGACTCTAGAGTGGGGCTTCCAGACATCTCCCCCTCCATCTTAAATGTGTCAGGTAAGGCTGCTGCCAATGCAGGGGATCACTTTGAGCATCAGAAGAGGAGGAGAGCTCTCTTCTGATCATGCCTAATGACACTGGGTAGCCACATAGTGTGAGAATGGTCTCTGACTGTGCATTGAGGCTTGAGAGATCATGATCACATATAAAGCCAGATCATTCAAGGAGTGATCGTTACTCTGTGTATTTTCTGCTGGCTTGAGGTGCACAGGCTCTTACAGAGCTTCACTGGGGCTGGCACTGTGGTAAAGGTGCTACTGGATGGATGATGCATTGGGTGCCCCTTTTGTTCCACCTCGTGGAGGGTGTTCGTGGTTATATTAAGTGACTATGTTGTGACATTTGGCTTGGAAATCCCCAAGCACTCGCATGTAACAGATGCCACCTTCTCCTGTGCACAGTCATGTTGCGCACTGCTTTCCCCTCTCTTCCCCCCCCATCCCAGTTCTTGCAGACTTGCTGGATGCTCTTATCATTAAAACCTGACCACCTCATGTAGCTGTTTGACACTTTTAGAGTGGTTGTATTGGTGCTGAAGTGGGCTGGTTGATATCCTCAGAGACCAAGGTTTGCCCCAGAACAGGTACTAGATACATGGTGGTAAGACTGCCTTCCCCAGCAGTGACAGCTGAAGAACTCAGGAGCCAGTGTGTGTTCAGGCCTCTCTTCAGCCCACTGTATCTCTACCAGGACCTGACCACAGCTATTCTTGTAGTTACCTCCTAAAGGTAACCTTATTCTAGTTGGTTGTCCAACAGCTTTGTGTTACTTCTTCTCTTTGCTGCTGTTTTATTATTCTCAGCAGTCCCGAGCCAAAGTTGAACTAGCAATTTAGATAGAAAAGGTTTTATGACTAAGAGTCATCTCTGGGGCCTCTTCATCAGTGTTAATACAGTTACACCCAGGGGGAGTTTCCTTCTGTACATCTTTGGCCATCCTTTGAGCTATCCAATCCTATTAAGCCTTCCCTTAGAACCTAATTTATATGCAAATCAAAACCTGTTTTGTGATTTGCAATGGTTTTATCATCTGCTCCCTCTCTTACATATCCACTCGATGCTGTTCCAAGTTGGCAATGATAACTGCTCCCTTATGATATAATCTGCCTGTTGAAATGGGAACTGAAAAGATTGATAGTCGTGAGGGGAAAGACAATAAAAAAAATAAGTTTCCCTTTCTCCACTGAACTCATCCCATGAAACTTCTGTCATTGTGGGACAGTGGCATGGAGACCTAAAGAAGGGCACCTGTGCCTGAAGAAGGACATCTGCTCCTAGTGATTCTCCAAATTATTGCTATTGTATATATTCATCACCAGCACCTTTCTTTGCCCCTTTCAGTGTTCTTTGGGATGTCCCTTGGCCAGATCTTGTCTTTGCAATGGAAAAAATGTGGCAGGACGCAAGCTACATGGTCAGATTGTCAAAGCATGTCAAAAAAGATGGTAAGAAAACAAGCAATGCTAGCTAAAGAAAGTATCAAATTCTGAAGAAAATAATAAAAGTACTGGCTAGAAAGCAAACATTTAGAAGGTTCAGCAAGCAGTTGGCTTGGTAAAAGGATTGTTGTGTTTGGAAAGCAGCACTGGCAATGGTGTTAGAGAGCAAGGAGATCGTGGTTTGTGGTGTGTTTTGTGTTTTCCTCAGGGCAGGGCTGTGTTTGGTTCTGCCTTTGGGACATGCCTACCACATCAGGTGCTGCTCTACTCTGCTGCCTGGCCTTCAGCCTGCTGGCAGCATTTTCCTCTTGTTCACTGGGATGAGTGGAAGAAGCTAAAATACCTTGCTCTTTCATTTTATAGCAGTCCCTCCTTTTTTCCACTACACCTTCTTGGCAATGCCATTAATCTCAGGCTTGGGAGATGAATCAAAGGGCAAAGACAGACACTGTGCAAGCTGCTCCGTGCAGCTCTGAAATCTTTTTCCCTCCTAAACTGTATGCCCATAGTGTGCCAATCCTTAACCTTTCTCAGATAGAGCCCTATAAGGCAACTGAGAACCAAGTCGAGTGAAAATGTATGCTGGACACACTTCTTCAGACAGCTTTTCAAATCTGTCTCAATTCTGATTAATTAGCAATACCTATATGCATCTTGGAGCAGCCGGACATCAGTATGATGCCATATTCAGGCCCTGTGGGATGCATGGATGCTCACAGAAGAGAGGGAGCGTAATCCTCACTTGTATCACCACTGGAAAGTGCCTCAGCGCTGATGCAGTGGCATTTTACTTCCACTTTGTTTGTGTGTCTTCAAAAGTCTGGTGGACAGGTGGGCATTAGCTTGAAATTTGCAGTGTCTGGTTGGAAGTTGGCCTGGGCTTATAGCCTAGTTAGAAGATGGTTGTTGCTCGGGTGGCAGGCTGAGATCCAGAGCATTGGGCGTTGTATAAGCACAGGGTTCAGCATGATCCTTCCTCCAAAGATGCTCACCAGAATGTGAGAAGTGGACATCTACTAACTGAGCACTGTAGGCTGCTGTTCTGCCAGATTCATCCTTCTTTTTCAGTGCTTTCTGAAGCTCCCATGGAAGCTTTTCTACATTGCCACAATCTCTCCATTAAAAATGTGTTTAGCACGTTAATTACACTGAAATCCACGTGCCTTTGATTGGCACCCGGCTCAGCCCTCCAATTGCTTGTACAGCTTGAGCTGGATGTCACACATAATTGAAATTCTGCTGAAGGTTGAAGCTGGATTATATAGTTGTTTGTGTTTCCTTTCCTTTTCTTGGCTGATCTCCAGGTATTAATCAAAGCACAGTTTTCTCCTGCGAAGCTCACAACGTAAAGGGATTGTCTTCATCTCGGACAGCCACTGTTCAAATTAAAGGTGAGAGAGTGCAAGAGAATGGGCAAGATACTTGGGTTTGCTCTCTGGGGTGGGAAAGTAGGGCTCCTTAATGCAAGAAGTTGTCTCAAAGCTGCTAGCAGCCAGCACCGGTTGGAGCTCTCAGCAGTTGAAACAATGCTTTGTGCTCTAACAGTGGTTTTCGCTTGCTATGCAAGGGCCATATCCCAGGCTGTTGAAAATAAACCACATCTGATTCAGGAGTGGAAATGCGATGTCAAATAACAGTTTTTTCCTTGAAAAGGACAGAGTCTGACCAGTCAAATTGTTTGTGAGAGATGACGCTGGATATAAGTCTGTAGCTGGGGAAATCTTTTCTTCTTGTAGATAGATGGGTCTTATTAGAGCTAAAGAGGCCATTACTTCTGCTTGCTTCTGTTGGTGTCACATTAGATGCTGAAAAAAAGACAAGGCGATCACCAGTAGCCAGAAAAGTCTGCTCATCCACACTGTTTTTATGGATTTTACTTTTTTAATTCTTTGTTCTTTAAAAACTCATTCAAGACAAATAATTCCAAGCCTTTGCGTGACCAGTTGCCATTTAGAAGTCCCTAAGTTGATGTCATGTTTCCTCTGTTCCTCCAGGTGATTGAAATGGGGATAATCAGAGCAATCAGCTCTTCCCCTCCTCTTCATGTTGAGATGCTTCTGCATTTGAATTTTTAGTCGTGCTTTAACGTGCATTAAATGACATGATTATCAGTTCCAGGAGAGGCATGTCACAAAAATTGTTTGTTCCAAGTGGTAGCTTATTGCTCAGTGCAAATAAGAGCAAACATTTATGTCTCTATCAGGACTCAGTTGTGTTAGCTAATATCATTAAAGGATAACTTAAAATCCAGCTGTAGATCTACTACTCTTACACCATCTTTTTCTTCGGGACATTGTGGTTACTTCTATGCCAAGAATGCTAGACTAGTAAGATTTATAACTTAATTTAAAAACATTTGGAGTTGTTGCCTTAAAGGCTTGTCTACACAGGGGAATTAGTTATTGTGGAATATATCTTCCATGGATATTTTTACCCTGGGATAGAATTTAGTCCACAAAGCTGTTATTCTTTACAAAAAATCTCATCAAGCCATAATCTGAAATAACATTTAGCACAAACAAGCTTTTTTCCTTTTTTTAAAGGTTAACACAGATTATTTTTTTTTTAACCATTAATAAGATGATGGGGTAAAGGCCTAAGAATTCTCATATTTCTCAGCAATTACGTTTAGCCAAAAGTGCTCCATAAGGGTCAATCATCAGCTAATAAATCCACACAACTTATCTGAGAGGGACAAATCACTGTCACAGACTTGCGCATGCACAGACACACAGTTCTTAGAGCTGAGGAAGAGCAAGCTTAAGTGATTTGGCAAATATTGCACCAGTATGTAGCATGTCCTGGAGATAAAAACCAGATTTTAAATAGCAAGTCCAGTGCTGTAGTCACATAAGTTCTAACTGTAATACCTCAAAGATATGTCTGAAAGAGTAGTTATAAACTTAGGGAAGTGACGAGGCTCTTCTAAAGAGCAAAAGTTTTGAAGATCTAGTACAGCCCCTGTTAAAATTAAAGCAAAATTCCTAACAAGGACATCAGCAGGATCAGGGGCAGGCCCAGGTAATGTTTATTTAGTCCTTGATCCTATGAACGTGTAGACTTCAATGAAATTACTCCCGGGAGTAATGATCAGGGCCTTTTCTTACACTGATCCATCCACTAATGAGGAATCTCAAGTCTCTCTACAATTTATTAAACAATTTGTTTCTTCTGTGTTTCCAGAGACAAATATTTTTGCTAGAACATTTACAAACTGTTAACATTTTCCTATTTGCTGCTGCTGTTGTTCATTATCTATTCTCTGTAGTGCCCACAATGTGCTGGGTGTACTCCAAGCAGAAAATTACTGTTATTGTGGCCCACAGTCCCCAGACTGTACAAAGCCCCATTGTTCCAGCCACTCTGCAAGCACGGAGGAAGTTAACACTCATTATGTTAACACTCAAGGTCCTGCTTTCAGACTGGCTTTGCTCTCCTTCATGTGTGCAGCTAAGACTTTTAGGGTCATATCCCGTGTTTCAGAGCACAACAGGAAACAGCCACCCAGGGTTTTTTCCCAGTGGACGATGGGGAAATGCATCTGTTCCTTCTGCAAATTGCAGAGTTAGAGGAAGATGCTAGCAAGCCGACCCTCTTCAGTGGCTGTCTTCATTACAGCGTGGGTGTGTTAGCAGTTGATTATTTATTCTCACTGGTGGTATAGCCCCTACGTCCTTTGGGCCTGTTACCAGTGTTGAAAATTACATGTTGCAAAACCCGAAAGTTACAAGTGTGCATACAAAAGACTTGCGTTAATGGCAACGTTTCAATGATATTCAAGTGAGCAGTGAAAGAAAGCTTTTTTTCCCCCCAAAGAGCTTACAAACCTAATACCCAACATCAAAAGGGAAAGAAACAAAGACACAGAAAAGTCTGAGCTAACTCCCAAAGACCTTTCACTGAAAGGCGAAGAACTCTCTTTCCCCATCTTCCATCCCAGACCCGAGCTCTGCTGCCCTACCTCCCACCCACGCACATTGTTCTTACCTAGGTGGCAGCCCCCTACCCTGGCTCCTGGTAACTAGTTAACCAGACAACAAAGGCTTTACAGGGTTAATCTGTGGCACCATCTATTCCCTGCCCCGTCTTTTCCTCTAGCCCTATGTAGAGACCTGGGAGGGGGGCTTTGGTCTGTGCATTTCTCCTGCAAGATGGCCCAGTGAAGATGCTGAAGGCAGTATCGTGGTTGTCCTGGGTGCAGTGAGAGACAAAGGTGCTCTCTGACAGAGTAGAAGATGCAGCTGGAGGAATCCTGGTTTGCAATTACTTTTCCATTGCTGTTTTCCACTGGATACAGCTCAGGAGAGGTGGAAAATTCAGTCTGTAGGCAGAGCCTTGTCCTGAGGACTGTTTGGTTTTTGTAAGAAAGAGGACTCCTGAGGGTACAATTTGTTGAGGTGCTGCAGGAAAAGTATTACTCAAAGCAGCAGTGTAGGGTTTTTTAAAATGAGCAAAAGGTCAGGAAGAGGTTAGTGAAGCTGTTAATTTTTTCAGGAGTGAGGTGCCTAAATAAAAACAGAGACTCAGGAGTGAAAAAGAGATGGTGAGGGGTATATCAGAGAGAATAGGAAGTGACTATGTGGAATTACAGTGGGAGGAAAACAGAAGGCAAAGGGAAGCATTGAGGATCCCAAAAGGAAGCCAAAGAGCTCAGGTTAAATGCGAGGCCCCTGCAGTGATGGAGGGGTCGGGTCAGAGGGGCAGTGCGCTGGTGCTGCTCTGTGGCAGTAGGAAGCACAAACATCTGATTGAATGGCCAGTCTGGGAATCCTGATTTTGTTCCTGGCTCTGCCCTTAATTTGTGGTGTGGTATCAGCCATGTAAGAGGCACTCTCTTTGACTCGAATTGCCCCTCTGTAGAACAGAGTGCTTTCTGAGTTTTTTCATCCCAAGCCTGAAGGAGGCACAGTTTTCAGTCCGGGCTCCTTCCCAGGGTGCTTGAAGGAGAGTTTGTAATGGATACCTGGAGGCGGCGCCTTCACAGCACCAAGTGGTCTACTGCAAATTCAGCTGCAGGGTATTCAGGTCACTACAGCAAACCACCCCCTGACTGGTGCTGGCAGAGCTGGTTTCGGGGGCTGGACCGAGAACAAGGGAAGGGATTTTAAAGCCCTGATTTGGTTCGCTATGTAGGTCCACAGGCAATTGTGCGCGCAGGGCTGGGTCATGCATTGCAATGGAGGGGGCAGGGAAGAGGGCTGAGTAGCGAAGATGTAAACATCACACACTGGCATTGCCATCAAAGAGATCAACCTCTGCCTGTATGCATCAAGCAAGTATGCTGGACTATTAAAGAATGGATGCCAATGTTAAAATAATACTTTTGCTCACAGTAGCCAGGGTCACTCTCTAAAGATGTCATCTTGTAACATTTCTGTTAGTGATTTCATTGCATAATTTCTAGCCTCAAGCCTCTGCCATTTCCATGTGAATACCTGCTCAGATCTGTGTATACTGAAAGGTCTCTTTGTTTTCTTTATAGCCATGCCTCTCCCGCCTCTCAATGTAACTGTAAACCAAGTCACCAGCAGCAATGCCAGCGTGGTCTGGGTGCCAGGATTTGATGGCCGTGCACCCCTCCATTCTTGCACTCTTCAGGTATGGCCCCTCTGGATTGTCCCTTGCCCTGCATGAAGAATGGGTCTCCCCTGAGCGACGATGTTGCTTGGGCCATCTTTTGCTCTCCTAACTGCTTGTAGCAGTGTTTGAATTCTTATTCCAAAGTTTTAAGACCTGGAAACTTAACAGGATGCAGCTCAGGGCATATATAGATGCCAAAGAGCAGGGCATGAAGTTCTGAGCATGAAGTGTCCAGCTGAGAATTTGAGACTGGCCCTGTTCTCCCTCCCAGCAGGTTATCACATCAGTTGTTCTGTGGCAGCTACTCCATGCAGATGATTACACTGCAGCACATATGAAGCACATATCACTTTACGGGAAATGCTCTTGAATAGCTGCAGGGTGCTGACACGTCCTGCTAGTGTGAATCAGGTGCTTTGTGGTGCCAGAGGAAATGCTGGGATCTGGACATACCAGTGAGCCCAAGGGATGAGGAGCTTGCAAAGTGTAGGATGTGCTACAGTAAAGGTGGGAATGATGGATTAGGCTTCTTAATACAAAGTCGGGTCTATTTGCATGTTTCAGAGTAATTTTAAGTTCTGCCTCTATATCTTGATTGGTTTTTGGTTGTCAAAGACCAATTCTGCCCAGAAAATTAAGGGTGATAATATCCTTTAGCTCTACTGGGTTCTGAGTACTCAACATCTCTGAAAGATTGGACTGCTTCTTCAGGTTCCTGGGAACAATGGTACGTGTCCAACTTCAGGCAGAGTTAGTTTCTAGCACTGCACACTTAACTGTAAAATCAGATCAAACAGCTGGTAACTGAGTGTCAGAAAGAAATGGTGATTCCTGAAGCAGGCTGTGCAAACACAGCTAGGCACACTCCCTGTGGATTTATCTGCCAGGTGTGAATATTGGGCCCCTATGCTTTCCCTTCCTGATTACAGCCGCAATGTGAGCTGGATTGGAATTTCTGTGGGGTGTTGCCAGCTATGTAGAGAAGGATTATAAACACAAGGTATGCTGGAAGCAGCCTAGCTAATTTACTTGCAGTCCTCTTTATTTGAGGAGGAAACCAGAGATTTCATTCTCTTATGCTTATTCCCTTTCATAAGTAAAAGAAATCATCATCTTGTTCTAACTTGCTGGCAGAAAGAATAGCTGGCCCAGGTCTCTGGATTTTGTTGCTGCTTCTGTTCTTGTTCGCAGTCAAAAATGGTTTTCTTCCTCTGTTTTACAATGCGAGTTATCTCCAGTTGGAACAGCCTATTCTCTCTGGCTTGCATGCTGCAATGCTAATCACCCTGGGTTTTGAGTTCCTCCCCTCGCTTTTGGCAGGGGCAGGGGTGGGGGGGATGGGACATGTGGAAAAGAGGCTGAATCAGAGCAGCTCAGTTTCTGTCCGCTCAGCAGTCTCTCAACCCTTTTCTAAGCCTTTTCTGTTCTGTTTGGGGAGGATGAAGTTCCTGCGTTTGGATCTGGGAGCAGAGTAACTCGGTAATAACCCTCCACTGACAGAAAGCCGTGCTTCCCTTGTCTTCCACATTGAGAGATTTTGTGAGAGACATTGACCCACATCTCCATGTGAAAATGCACATGCTCCTGGCTCCCTACAATTGCACTTCTGCTCAGAGTCTCCCAGAAAGAGAAGGGGGAGTGAAACTTGGCTGTGGTTTTCTGGCACCCGGGAATTGCAGCACGTGCCTCAAGAGCGCCATGTTCAGACAGGCAGATTGCTTCTGGGGAGAGGGTAGGGAATCACCGTGTTTACTGACTGTTAACACAAACCATGTTCCAGGGCATAAAGAGGGCAGATGTAAGAGCACCGACTCTTCACACTGTTGAGCAGAAATGCATCATCAAATTGACACGGTTTTACACAAAAGTCTGCTTGTTTTTTCCCTGCTTTGGATAACACTGATAATGACAACAATATGCTTTTCTATTAAGGAAACTTGAGATTCTTTCTTTTTATTAGCTGTATAAATCAGTGAGCCAAAAGTGTGTGTGAGAATAAGCAGAAAGGCAGGGAGAAAGGGAGAAAGACTGCTGTATAAAGAACATAAAGTCCATGAGTGTTTCACTTTTGTCAGCACACCTTGCTTTTACTCCTAGCTCTGCTATTTCATATGCATTTGAGAAGAAAGATTGGCTGAGCCTGGGAGCTATGCAGTGATTTCTGCTATTGTCAGTACAAAAGCAGGAACATTGAACCTGTCTGTGCATTAAAAGGACACAGTGATAGCAGATTTAAATTAATATTTATGTTGCTTAAAAGTTCAGATATGGGGGGGAAGGAGGGTTCCAACAGTGATAAAAAGTTTCTTTTCAGTCTAATTTGAAACAGTTTAGTTGAACCAAGCCACCAGTGTCTACCAAGTCTTTAATTCACTACAAAACTAAAAATATATAAACTGCTGAAGAAGGAGTTGAGAAAAAGGTGACACTAGGTAACAGGGGAGTTGATCGACCAGTTTTCATTGCCCAAATTTAGACAAGCTTCAGAAGCCAGCTACTAGCACCCAAAGAAACAAGCACATTTAGTTTTCCTTAAAGGAAATAATAATAAAGTGTAGAATTTGTAACATAGGTAAGGAAATGTTTTAAAAGGTGGAACCAAATTTTCAGCTGGTGGAAAATTGTTGTACTGCCAGAGTTAGGAAAGTGATGTCAATTAAACCAAATAAAGACATAGCTCATGATTCTTAGTTTGACACCTCCCTTTTCAGTATTTTAAACACCACTGATACCATGTCTGTTCTTACACATTCCTAAACTAACCATGAAATGGATTCTTATCCCTATGGACCTGTTCGCCATATGGCTTATGGTAACAGTCTTCTCTGTTTCACTCTTGGCACAGGTAGCTGAGTCACCAGATGGCCAGGAGGTCTCCACTGAAGTCACCCCAGTGCCGCCCTTTGCCTACGGTGTGCAAGGCCTGAAGCATTCCACCAACTACAGTGTTCGTGTGCAGTGCAGCAATGAGATGGGTAGCTCCCCTTTCACCGACAGGGTTTATTTCCAGACCCTGGAGCTTGGTAAGCAAATAGCAGACAAGAGCAGGAAAGCAGTTCTGAATCTGAAAAAGAAACGATGATAAACTTCATTGGTCTCCTCCTTGCTAATTCTGAAATTCAGGAAACATTACACTGTCAGATTGCTTGTCCACTCTAAGGGTCTCCTAACACCTAACATAAAATAATAACATGCAGTCCAATGTGGTTAACAGCAATGATGCATGATATATAAGTTGACCAGACACAGGGCTTCTGCATGCTGGGCCTGTGTCCCATTTGCTCTCTGAGATTCTTGGGGTCTCGGTAAGAAACAAGAGACACTGACCAACCTTACCTTCTCCGCTTGAAGCAAACATAGTGCTGGTGGCTTGCAGAAGTTGTTCTCTCCCCTCACATTCTCTCTTCCAGCTGATCTCAGGAAAGAGGGTAAAGCTGTCTTTTCAGCCATTTTCAGTGTGGATAGCACCTTATTTTCCTGCACAGAGTGATTCTGTTCTGTCCTCTGCTTTCAGCTCCAAGCAGCACCCCACAAAATATCCATGTTATCCAAAGAGATCCAGGTCTGATTTTGGAGTGGGAAGGTGTGGCTCCAGATGTGCTGAAAGAAAATGTCCTGGGATACAGGCTGGAGTGGATTCAGGATAATGTAACTCAGGTAACAGATCGAGAGGGTATCTGAGCCATTGGACACAGAGTTGGAGAATGTTCATATTAAATTTTCTAGGCATTAGGATCCCTCATCCGTACCAGGGAACTAGATTGCTGGCATTGCTTGTGTGTAAATGGATCTGTTCTGATCTGCAACAACTCCTCAGTATTTGGCCTCAAGATTTAGGCCTGTTTCTCCCTTCCTGGCATATTCAGAATTCCTTCATTTGAATGTTCATCTGCAGACAGACCAGTTCTCTGCCATTCCTCGTACAACAAGGACAAGATAGAACTCAGTTTGTTTCTGCCTCTTTCTAGTGCTGTCCCAAAGGCAGTTCAGACTGTGCAGGATCTGGGCTTTCTCTCTCCTGTGACTGGGACTTGGCTTTCCAAATCCTAGCAGCAAAGGTTTATTTAACAAGTGAATGAGTTGTACTGTAAATCACAGAAAGAAGGTCGCGGATTCTTTTGTTTAATTTACAATATATAGAGAGTTGAAAGGACCCTGTCAAGGTAGAAGGCCTTTCATTTGTTCTTCAGTGTTGACCTTTCCCAGGTATCTATCTGCCTTTGAAGTTCACAGCATTTCTTATGGTTTCTCATTTCTTAACATGTATTTAGCCAGTGCTTATTAATGATGAACAAGCCTGTAATAATAGACAGCTAGAGGGAAAGCGACTT